AAATGTAGTTTATTTACTGCGCTGGAGGCGAGGCTTAGTGAGTTAGAGGAACGGCACCGCACCACGAGAATCTTTAGCCGCTATAGTTAGCCAGCCCCGGTAGCCGGTGCGGTCCGACCGAAGGTAGCTTCGTTAGCTCGAGTTCCCCGGTAGTTCCCGAGCAGCCGGGAAGACAGGAGGCGGGTGACGAGCGAAGGAAGACAGAACGGCGAAGCCCACAGGTCACCACCAACCCCTTCACGTTTCTAATACATTTCCCCACTCAGCGATACACCCGCAGGAACCAACTCTGGTTATTGGCAGCCCATAGTCAGAAACGTGAAGTTAGCGAAGCCAGCGGCCATAGTTAAATGTATCCCGGGGCCAGAGCGGGCGACATTGAATCAAATTTAAAACGCGGCTAAAGATAAACGTAAATACAGTAAGATTGTTATCCACGTCGGCGGTAACGACACCCGTTTACGCCAATCGGAGGTCACTAAGATTAATGTGGAGTCGGTGTAACTATGCTAAGACAATGTCGGACACCGTAGTTTTCTCGGACCCCTCCCCAATGTGACCAGTGATGACATGTATAGCCGCATGTCGTCATTCCACCGCTGGCTGTCGAGGTGGTGTCCAGCAAACGAGTGGGCTTCATTGATAACGGAAGCCTTTTGGGAAAACCGGTCGATAGGAGAGACGGCACCATCCCACTTTGGATGGAGCGGCTCTCTTATCTAGAAATAGGCGAAGTTTATCTCTAAAACCGACAGTCCAGAGTTAGGACCAGGAAGCAGAGCTGCGTCTTACACACTCCTCTGCGCTTTCTTAGAACAGTCACCCACCCAAAACCCCATAGAGACTGTCGTCCCCCGACCACCTAAACTATTTAAAGAAATAAAAACAAGAGGAGTCAACATAAAAATCTAATAAAAATTAAAACCAACTCCTCAGTAGCACAAAATAAGAGAATGAAATGTGGCTGTTAAATATCAGGTCTCTGTCCCTAAAGCTGTTCTAGTGAATGAATAATATCAGATTATGATATGATTTACTTTGTCTTACGAGACCTGGTTGTCCCAGGAGGAGTATGTTAGCCTAAATGAATCCACCCCCCAGTCATATTAATACTCACATTCCTCGAGGCACAGGCCGAGGAGGTGGAGAGCAGCTATATAGATTCGAGCGTTTTAATGGACCCTAAACCTAAACTAAATTATAATTCATTTGAAAGCCTTGTTCTAGTCTTCCACCCAAACTGGAAAACACGCAGCCAGTTCATTGTTATAGTGACCGCGCTCCGGACCGTACCGATTTTATATCGAATTTTCAGAGTTTCTATCAAGCTAGTCCTTAAATCAGATAAAGTAATTATGTAGGTGATTTTAATATTCATGTGGATGTGACAATGACAGCCTTAGTAATGCATTTATATCATTAATAGACTCAATGGCTCGTCAGAGTGTAAATAAACCAACTCATTGTTTAATCACACTCGACCTGTTTATCATAGGCATGATATGAACATTTAATAGTGTCCCACAAATCCCCATCGACCATTATTAATAACTTTAATTCATACTATAGATTATAAGCCATTAGGCAAAACTCCACAGCAGATGTCTATCGACAGTGCGTAGCTAAATTTAAGGAGGAGATTCCTTCAGTGTTTAATTCAATGCCATGTCGAATTTAACAGAGTCCTATAACAACTTAGTCCCTCTGAAATTGATAATCTGTCGAAGTGCACAGGCTCACTACGATCAACATTAGACTCTATCGCCCTATAAAAGAAATTATTAAAACAAGGAGACAGCACCTGGTATAACCACCAAACCCCCAGTTAAAGCAAATAGCTAGAAAATCTGAAAGGAAATGGCGCTCTTCCAAATTATCAGAATATCGCCAAATTGGCAAGATGATCTTAAGATTTATAGAAAGGCCCTCCGTAATGCCAGAGGAGCCTATTACCAGCACTAATAGAAGAAAATAAGAACAACCCAGGTTCCTCTCAGCACGTAGCCAGGCGACAGAGAGTCACAGCTCACGAGCCACATATCCCCATAAACTTAAGTAGCAATGACTTCATGAGCTTCTTCATAATAAAATTATACTATTAGAAAAAATTAATCACCAACTGCCATCAACAGTTATCAGTGGCTCTCCAAGTTCAGGGACTTCGTCAAGTAAACTAGATGTATATTTAGACTGTTTTCTGCTATCGATCTTCATCAGTTAACTCAATCATTCTCATCGAAGCCATCAACCTGTCTGTTAGACCCGATCCCAACTAGGCTGCTAAAGAAGTGTTCCCTTAATTGGCACTTCTTTACGGAATGATTAATCTTCTTATTATCAGGATATGTACCACAGTCCTTAAAGTAGCTGTAATTAAACCCCTTCTTAAAAAGTCTACTCTGACCCAGGGGTTTAGCCAACTAAGACCGATTTCTAACCTCCCGTTCCTCTCAAGATTCTGGAGAAAGTAGTCCCAAAGAGTTGTGTGACTTCTACAAACAATAGTTTATTTGAGGATTTTCAGTCAGGATTTAGAGTTCATCATAGCACAGAGACAGCTCTGGTTAAAGTTAATAATGACCTCGACTGCTTCGACAATGGACGTCTCTGTACTTGTATTATTAGATCTTAGTGCTGCATTGACACCATTGACCATGATATTCTTTACAGAGACTGAGCATCAAATGGCATTAAAGGAACGCCCTAACCGGTTTAAGTCATACTTATCAGATCGTACTCAGTTTGTACATGTTAACGATGAATCCTCCATAAATACTAAAGTTAGTCAGGAGTTCCACAAGGTTCTGTACTGGACCAATACTATTTACTTTATATATGCTCCCTTTAGGCAACATTATTAGGAATCACTCCATTAACTTTCACTGTTATGCAGATGATACGCAGTTATATCTATCAATCAAACCCAATGAAATAATCAATTATCTAAATTACAAACATGTCTTAAGGACATAAAATCCGATGACCGCAATTTTCGATGTTAAACTCAGAAAAACGAAATTCTTGTTCTGGCCCCAAAAACCTAGAGACTCATTGTCTAAAGATATAGTCACTCTAGATGGCATAACGGCCTCAGCACCACGTCAGGAATCTGGAGTTATCTTTGATCAGGATTTGTCATTTAACCCCACATAAAGCAGACCCAGGACTGCCTTCCATTACGTAATATTAGAAAAATTAGACACATACTATCACAGACAGATGCAGAAAAACTAATCCATGCATTGTTACTCAAGGCTGGATTACTGCAACTCTTATTATCAGGTTGCCCCAATAAGTCCATTAAAACGCTCCAATTAATTCAGAACGCTGCAGCACAGTACGACAGGAACTAGAAAAAGAGATCACATCTCCGTACAGCTACCCATTGGCTCCCTATAAAATGTAGAATGAATTTAAAATACTCCCCTCACCTATAAAGCTCTCATGGTCAGGCCCCTTCATATCTTAAAGAGCCATAGTACCCTATTACCCCACTAGAACACTACGTTCTCGAATGCGGGCTACTGTGGTCCTATAGTCTCTAAAAGAGAACAGGAGCCAGAGCCTCAGTTACAAGCTCCTCCCTGTGGAACCAGCTTAGTTGTGGTTCGGGAGGCAGACACCCTCACCACTTTCAAGAGTAGGCTTAAGACATTCCTCTTGATAAAGCTTATAGTTAGGCGGATCAGGTGAGTCCGAACCATCCCTTAGTTATGCTCTATAGGCCTAGACTATCGGGGATTTCCCATGGTGCACGAGCTACTCTCTTCCTCTCTCTTCTGCACTCATTCATGTCCCTTTAATGCATGTTACTAACCCACTTCTTCCCCGGAGTTCTGTGCTTCGTCTGCAGGTTCTCATGGATCCGGTGGAGCCTCCTGCCATGGTCCTGCTTGACTGCCATTGCCAATACTGTTGTTCGTGCACCTGTCTGTCTGTCTGTCGCCTCTCTCTCTCTCTCTCTCTCTCTCTCTCCTCCTCACCCCAACTGGTCGAGACAGACGACCACCCACCTAGAGCCGGAGGATCTGTCCTAGGTTTCTGCCTTTAACAGGCAGTTTTCCTTGCCCTTGTCGCCAAGTGCTTGCTCATGGTGGTACTGTTGGGTCTCTGTAATTAATGTTAAAGAGTTCGGTCTAGACCTGCTCTATTTGAAAAGTGTCCTGAGATAACTTCGTTATGAATTGGCGCTATACAAATAAAATGAAAAATTATCATCATGTCCCAAATCAGCAGCAGAGTACTCTTTGTGGCCACATACTGTAGCCATTAAACAGGACAAGATGGACTGAGCTGATTGTAGAAATATCACAACCCATCTGTAATAATCACAGTAGTGATCTGTGTAGAGTCATTTAGGCTGAAATTCCTGTTTAAAGGTCCAGTGTGGAGGATTTAGTGGCATCTAGCGATAGAATTTGAGATTGCAACTCCCTTGCTTCATCCTCCCCTTCAAAGCGCGAGAGACAAACTACCACTGGCTGCAAAACATGGGGAAAAAAATAAACGGCTCTATCTAAAGCCAGTGTTTAGTTGGTCCTTTCTGGACTACTGTAGGAACATGGCCATTCAACATGGTTGCTTCCATGGATGGCAACCCCTCTTATAGATAAAAATGCCTCAGTGGAAGGTAAAGAAAACTTTTCCTTATTTTTAGGTGATTACACAAATGAAAACATAACATGGTTCTAGATGTGTGGCATTGCTGCTTTTTATGTTTTATGTGACTATAAATTGATTGTGGACAAAACAAGTACTTTGAAGAGAACACCTTGGACACGTTTCACTGTTCTAGATAAAAGAGTGACAACAATTAGATTAATAAATAACAAAAAAGAAATCATTATTTGCAGCTCTAATAGCCAGCCTGTGGGCCTAATCTTTCCTATTCACCGATCAGTGGTCAGCCTTGGTAAAAATGAAATGAAGTTAACGATCATTATCCTACATTCGCCTCACAACCAAACCACATGTATTCTTCCTTCCAACAAGCCTCTAACCTGGATCTTGATTGGCCAGCTGAAGTTGGACACATAGACGTAGAAGGTGATGTTGTGGTGAAGTCTGAAGTTGAACTTTTCGCACGAGAAACTGTCACGGTGTTCCTTGATGTTGGTCCTCGCTATGATGGGCATCTCTTCACCTGAGATGGTGCCAGCTGTGAGAGACAGGGTCGTTTATAATACAGCAGAACAAAGTGTAACAATGAAATACAGCAGAGGATATTTTTATAGGATAGAAAATAACTAAAGCAAGCACAGAACTATTTTGGTCAATGGTAAATGGGAAATGGACTGTACTTGTATAGTGCCTTTCTAGTCTTCCAACCACTCAAGACACTTTTACACTACATGCCACATATGCCCATTCACAAAAACAGAAACTAATTCACTCAGTCATTTATACTCCAATGCACAGCACGGGAACAACTTGGGGTTCAGTATCTTGCTCAAGGACACTTCGACATGCAGCGGGAAGAGCCAGGGATCGAACCGCCAATCTTCTGATTAGTAGACGACAAGCTCTACCTCCTTAGCCACAGCCGCCCAAATGACTTTTGTCATCTAAGTAGTCTTACAGTCATTCACAAAACAATTTATAGCATCTCTGCAGTGTTCAGTGTCTGGTGGGGAGCTACAGCTCTCATGAAGGGGACTAACAGTGATACCTTTGAGGGTGTTTATTGTATTTCTGCTCAAGAGCTATCATTTATCGTAGAAAACAACGGTACGACTGTTGAACTAAGCAACTTTAGTCTCAGGGCCAGGACAATGCTTTACAGCAGTAGTCACACACGACCAATTATGTCACTGAGTTTGGTGAAACTAGATCCTTTTGGAGAAAAGGTTTTCCAGTTTTCCCTCTGATGTCCTGTAGCTGCTCCGCCTCAACTCTTGGTGATCTACAGAGATCCTGATAGACAGAAAGCTTTACTAGTTGCTAAAGTAAGTTAACCACTACGATAGTTAGCTCAGTCTGTGCTGCCTGGTTTTCAGTTCTGGGATGAGGGGGAGCCAGTGGGGAATGCTGACGGTGAGCTAGCCTTTTCTCTAGTCAATCATCCTTATGTATTATATAGTCCTTCATTTGAAGTTATTCACTAACTACTGATTAACAATAATGATCAGGTTGTTCCTAATTTGTTCCTCATTCCTCGGTAAGTATTCACAGTATTCATTTTTTGTAGTGTATTATAAAGTGTTAACAAACAGTCACGATTTAAAAATGTAAAGGATTGCCTTTCATCTCAAGCAGGCAAATTATTTTCATGACACCTCGCAGTAATTCAGAGCGAGCTTGTAAATTTCTCTCAGCGCTGAAGTGGTCTGATTTCAGTATCCTTCAGCGCATTATCAGCAGTTCTGTGTTAATGGCAGAGTTTTTCAGACGTTGTGAATAAAATATTTCCACCTCCTGCTTTATCAGGGCCATTAAACACTGTAATAGTCTGCACACAATCACACACACACAATCACACACACGGCCCATAGTCCTAAACTGAAGAGGCTCTGGGCCCCAAGACACTGCTTTTATCTTAATTGAAATCAGGAGGGAAAATGTATAAAACACCCTAATGCTGAAATTCAAAATAGCTTCTGATGTGTTTTGTCAAGAGGGGGAATCCCCGGGAGGCAAACAGGAAGTGGATATGGCCATTTTACTTAAGGACACTTGGCCACCAACAAAAGATACTGACTGTGGGATGTCTTTACAGACAGTCCTTCAGAGGCTAAACAATCAACCACTGTATCAAATTCAAATTATATTTTATGTTACAGCTTACTTTCAGTTTCATTAGACAGTACTGGGAAATGTCCTATTATAAAGACATTGGTCTTTTTAAAAGAGAAGATGGCTTTTTACTGTTCTAGCTACAATATTTATGTTATTATGGAATGTTCCTTATTAAATTACTGTTGACAGAATTCTGGATGTTATTTTTTCAATATTGCAAGTTTTGGCTACTCTTCTAATTTAGTACTGAACTATTAAGGGCCCTGCAGACCCCCACAGGTGTTTTTAGTTTTTCTGGCTGATTAGACCTCTGCTCAGGTTGAAGATGGGCAGAACTATACTGGGAATAAAGCTGCTTTCTATGTAGACTAACACACCTGCAGCATCTTGAAGATCCATAGTGATATGACTGTCGAGTTGCTCAGCATGTCAAAGGTCCAAACAAAGAACCAGTTTTGTCACATTTGCTCGATCAGCACATCCCAGCTACTGTTGACTATTTTTTCTGTCTGTGTGTAGTGTCTGTGTAGTATGCTATGGGAATGCGTGCAATGTGGGTTGCACTGTAGGTGTGTGTCAATTAACAGCTGAAACCATTAATTGATTAATTAATATAGCATTAATTTGCAACTATTTTGATAATGGATTAAAGATGAGGAAATGAAGAAATCCAATACCACGGTAAATTCCATGATATAGTGCAATGCAGTGTAATTTTTCACATTACATAGTATAGTAATTAATTATAGGATTTGTGATCTTTTCTGTCTTATGTGAGGTAGTTTCCACCACCTCAGATTTCTTGTTGTACGTTTAAATAAGAAAATAATCAGCAGATAAGGACATCGATGAATTTGGTGCAGTCTGTATTCACGCACAATCCTAAGAAGAGGTCTAATCACCTACAATAAGTAAAATGACCTGTGTGGGCTAGCGATGATGGTTTTAATTGACTACTCCAAATTAGCTTAGAAACCAAAATACCTTAAAGAAAACCCAACAAAAAGACATTTAAGACGAACAAATCCTCTACCTGTTGAGCTTAAGGACCACGTGATGTTGAGGTTGAAGTTGTTCGAGGCATTGATGGACATGTCGAGGTTCTTGTTGGCCTGCACGAAAAGAAAAAAACCTGTGGACACGCTGATTTTGATTTATAGTAGATGGAAGTGAATCACTGTAGGGAAAGTGAAGGATGGAGGCTTGAGATGCATTCAGACACAATGCAAATCAAACTCTTGTTGCAGTTGTTTCTTGGTTTATTTATTGATTGCTGGGGTGATGGACACTTTCCTCAGTAGAGTTGTTTTACTTATTTTCCTTCAGGGCTGCTGACCTTTTGCACTTTCTTGTGTACATTCATGAAGTACAACAGAAGAGGAGCATTTTTTGCTAAAACATTTTTAACTTCAGCTTACTTGTCTTCCCCTAAACTCATGTCACCTAGGGCAAATTTAAATCTGTTGGCCTCTTTGGGTGTCATTCTATTGATTTTGTCTGCAATGCTGCATCAAATCTACACTTTCAGCTGTATCTGAACAAACCTTTAGGCGCTGAGAAGGAAAAACGGGTTCGATAAAACTCAAGAATTTAGATGTCTCTCACTGTCAACAGCAGACTCCCGCATTTAAAGAATAAATGTTCTACAGCTTCTTTCAAAAAACAACTTTGGGGCATCCTGGTGAAATTGTTTATGTTGCATGTCAAGTACCCACGACATTCCCTGTTCAATTTCAGCCGCAGGCCATCGCCATGTCTCTGTCCATATTTCCTGCCTGTCCGTCTTTACTGTCCACTATCTAATGAATGCAAAAGTCCAACCTATCAGTCTGTCAGTTAAGATTATAGCAGCTATCAGTCCCTCCTGTGCGCCTTTGAGTGCAAGTGTTACCTGGTCAGGTGTAGCCATGAAGTTGATGGCGGTGTAGTAGCGGTCATCTTCCTGAAGCAAGCTGAAGGTAAACTGGTAATCGATCAACAGGTTGTCTAGGCAACAAAGATAGAGACAAAGGCAGAGAGAGAGAAGAAGAACAAGACAAAAACAAATAAAACAAAACCATACAGAGCTGTAAATTGTTTAGAATGATTTAATCTATTACCAGTGGTTCATTGCTGCTTTATTTGCATGAAAAGCTTCAGTCTGAGGAACCCATTACAATGACGTGTTTCAGTAATAATGTAGTTCTTTCTGGGATTTGTTTTAATTTTTGGTGTATTTGGTCCACCTCTCCTCTTACTCATTTTCCATTTAAGAATGTCATTCCAAATAAAACCTCCATTCCGGCACATTTTATTGACGACGCCATCAAGCACAGACAGATTTATGAAAGTGAAAACATGGGAGACGCTGAGCGTAAGTCGATATTTAATTAGATGAATAAGGCTACAGTGGTGGAGTTTTGGTCAAAGATCTCAATCAGTGACAAAACCAACAAGGTGAGCATGTGTGTGTATGACTACGAGTATGGACACGAGCGCTCACAATTAGGATGCCATTTTCATAGACAGGCAAACAGTTCGATCAAGAGTGAGAGTCTAAAATATCATGTTCTCTCACAGATTGAATAATTTTTCAAAGCAGCTCCTAGAAGCAGCTCTTTGTTAGCGAGACAATGGCCAACGTATAGAGGGAAATCACAGTGATTCAACATCTGGACAGACAGCAGGAGCCACGTTGGGTCACCTTGTCTGCCTGCCTGATAAGGGGGAAAGGAGGAGAGGAGGCGAACACAGAGGAGAAGAGAGAAAAGAGGGAATGAGGAGAGAAAGCAGCTATGTGGCCATGAGAGGATAACGGGATGAGAGGATATTTTTTAAGTTAATCAGCGTGACGGCTGAGTGCTAACCCTTCAGGGTGATCCAGGTGTGTGTGTGTGTGTGTGTGTGTGTGTGTGTGTGTGTGTGTGTGTGTGTGTGTGTGTGATGTATCCAAGGGCGCCTCAGGTTAAAACAGACTCAGGCAGGGAACACTTTTATTTTCAGCTCAAACAAAAGTTGATGTTGTCAGTCTGGGTCCTATTTTGGCCACCAGTTTGACCAGTTATAGTAATATAACGGTGTATAATATTTCATTACAATAATTGACAGTCAGATTGAGTAAGCAGTTAAGTAAAAGAGAATAAGGAAAATTGTTGAAATACCATCAAATCATTAAAACGATTACGATGCTATCTATGTACACTCTAAAACAAGTACAACGTGTCACAGAGTTACAAACAGTGCGATGACAATGCCATCTCTAGGCCAACATTAATCACTGTACCATTCCCCCTCAAAAAAGGCTAAAATGTATATAAACTTATGGATTTACTTTAATGAGCTTGAACAAGCACAGAAATGTAGGGATCCACTAATACCTTTGTTTCATCCTATACTAACTCAGATTATTAAACTTTTTGTATTTCAGTTGTAACAGATGCAGTGGTAGACAGTAACAAAGGGCATTTACTCAGATGCTTTATTTAAGAACAATTTTGTGGTAATGGTACCTTAGTAGTCTTTTAATGCTTCGCTCAATAGAGACAGGACTTTCCCTCAGCTTTTGTTACTTAAAGTGGGTGGAAACAATTAGGGTTAAAAAAAAAAAACCTGCATGGCAGAACCAATCCAAGGTATTTAGGAAGGTGACGCACGGAAGTCATGTGCTTGTAAACACTGTCATACCATAACGTTTCTCAGGACATGTTTTAAAAAGCGTTTTTTTTCTGTGTTGCAAAGCGATTTGTTCTCCAGCTTGATTTCACTGTGGAGGAGAATGGGTATAACTACTTTCTATTTCTAAATCCACAGACGATTGACAGGCGCTGAGATCTGTTATTAGCAGCGATTGTCTGGTAATGCGAGACAAGTACTTTAGTTATTTTGCTGATTATACTTGTGTACTTTTACCTAAAAGCTGCAACTATTAACTTCTGATTGTGTTGATTCTGGTGGCCCCTGTGGACAAAAGCAGTAGTGTTTCTACCGCCTTGTTTCATTGATTTCAAGGGGAATCCAACTGAATCCGACCTGGTGGATTATGTAGGGGCAATGACAAAACGCAGTATTTAATGTGAAATTGTTATATCTGACCAATGCACAATACATTTAATAAAGTTAGTATAGGGGACATTAGCAATACAGTGTATCCAATTGTTGCATCACTGGCCAAATTCTAGCTTTTTTTAGCTTTAGAATAGTTGTAAGCTGTTCAGCAGTCAGCAGCAGAGAACTGTGGTTGTGGTAGACGGACAGGCAGACAGGTCAGAAACTATATGAATGTCCCTGAAAAAGAACATCCAGTGCTGTTACAGGTAATCTGCTGCTGTCTAACACGGAGTAGCAGTAGTCAGCAGAGACACTGTAAGAGCTTTTCAACTTACAGAGCAGAAAAACTTCGTGTCACACACTGCAGAGAGAGAGAGATGTTTAGTTATCACCTTCCTTTCAGCTGAACAATCCCGGGGCGTCACCAAGACGAAAGCAAATTATGTTTGACAAACACCCTTGTTTTGTTCAGCCTTCATGGCAAGTTAGCCCGAACAGCAGATATCATCAGATCAAAGACAATATTTTTTCTCAACATCTCTCTTCCTCCCTTCCTCCCTCCCTCCCTCCCTCCCTCCCAGGCAGACATGCACTGCTGCTGCTCAGTTGTTTATCCCATAAGGGTCGTCAGTACAACTTCAGAGTATATATGGGGTTTTTTTTATACTTTGTAAAGGGGATAGGGATTTTGTGCATATTCGCATGTGTTCATGTACAGTATATTTTTGTATTTACCTTTCAATGCATCCAGTATGTTCATGTCTGTACACCTGTGAGACTGTTTACAGCTGTGTACGTGTCTGTGTACTTAACCAAACAAATGAGAGTGTAGCACAAAAAAACTTAAGCTAGTCCCTCTGTGTATTTCCAATATGTTTGATTTCAAGGCTGTCGGGAACAAAAACATCAGCCAGGTTTAAAAGTTCATCTCAGCTAATTACAAATCCCATCTGAGAAATCTGACAGCAGTTTCACTTAGGCAATCTCAATTACACGCGCACATGTGAGTATTCTCAGCCCGGATGAATCGTATTAAGGTATCACTAAAGGTATTAACCATCCCCACAAGAAGTGAAATAGAAATAGTCCGTGTCAATTTTTCAGGTTCACAGATGGGTGATCTTATTACCATAATATGTAAGCTGATTCAGCCAATATGAAACAAAACACTGATGAGGGGGAATGAGAAGGCAGAAGAGAAATCCCTCACCCGGAACGTAATCTGATATTCCAGCAGTCTGCTTCGAATAGAAATCCAAAACCAGCATGAACTCACCTACAATGTCAGTTTGTCAGAAACGCTCGCTGAGGTTTCATTTAATGCTTGTTAACAACTTATTATTTCCCATTAGCAACACTTCCCTGACGGAGCGTCGGCCAGACACTACAGCATCACCTCGCTGAGAAAAACGGTTAGAACCAGGGGAGTCAAGGGGACAAAAAGGATTCACTATCAGACCTAAACGGAGGTCAAGGTAACCTGGAGGAAATTTATGCATGAGGTCAGGTGACCCTGATTTCTTAGAAACAGGCTGTTCCTTAACAGTACAATGATCTGAGGGATGGCTGGTCACAAAGTTCGCAATCACCAGGGTCTCAACATGAGACTGTTCACTAATTCTAAGCACAACAAAACGCCAGAACACACATAGAAATCAATACATTTTTAAAGGTGGTGGGGAAGGTGTAATAGAAGGAGTGCAGTTAACACGCACATCAGGTGCTCGGCTGTTCAGCATAGAAGTAAAAACCTGAACACTCCATGTTCTAATCTGCAAATGGAAAATGTTTTGATCCCAGATGGATTTTCGTAAGGTCAAAAGGATTAAAAGGACAAAGTGAACTTATCGAAATCCCAGAAAAAAATCTAGAAATAATCTACCCCCAACATATTATACCAGAATATCCTTACACATATCCATCGTATTTTTTGCTTTTCCTGGTATGACATGTCAAGTTTTTCACTCTAACAAAGATTTAATCGAGGTTATGTTTTGGTGATAACTGTTGTATTGGACTGAAGTACACTGAAAGGTGTCTATTATTTTGTATATACCATTATTATATTGAAAGTAAATACATTAATAAGATCTTACAATAAAATGTTATACAATAACACCACAAACTTGCCCACAGATTAGAATCAACCCCTCTCTGAAAATATAGAAAAAAAGTCCCTGTAGTACTGGACCACATTGCACTAATGTTTTGTTTTCTGGTCAATCTGTAATGTGTACATTTCTTCTATCTGGTGTGTGTCCTCCCAAATGTTACTTACTGTATTATCATATATCAAACTAACTGAAACTTGCTCAAACTGATCTAAAATCAGTCAGAGTATGTACCAGTCTGTCTGGATAACTACTGGATTGCAAAAAAGGTTTTTGGCCTGATAGGACCAATTATTCCAAGTTGGATAGCCTGTCAGCAGCCTGGACTGACGCCAGATCGTGGTCTAATGAACGGCCTTAGGCAAGGAATGTTGTTGAGTGCTCACTGCTGATCACTGCCATGCAACTGCTTTGAGGCCTGAATTGGCTCCAACATTCACTTGCTTATATCTTATTTGTCTTTGATAACATTTTACCACTATAAGAGAAAATCTAATCATATCTAGGAAAAATTGCGGATACGACAAGTCAATCCTCTTCATTTCTCTGCATTAAGATGTTGGACATCACATAATTTCCTATTTCGTGCTGTCAGTCACTAATTGTCTATTTAATTGCGATTGTGAGGCTGCCAGTAAATATTGGAGCCACAGTTGTTTGGCCTGACTAAGCTTCCCCAGCAGGCCCGAGGGCAGCAAGCACCACTGACTGTGGACTGACTGGTGTTAGCTGGTAATTCAAATGACTGCTTTCCAGTGGAAGTGGTGGGACACTTGGTGGCCATCCCTAATTAGACATCCCTTGTAGCTGACTGTGATGGAATATGACAGTGGTTCATTAAAGCATTGTCCTGGTGATGCTTGCTCATAAATGCTAGCCTGATTGGGGGCAAACTCATTAAATAGCAAAGTTGCTTTTCATCAATTGACTGGTGGTTCAATATGACAGTGTTAACTGAACCAAAGCATTGCTCTCTGCACTTCATGCTCGAGTGAGATGAGGAACACTGCCGTCCATAGCTGGACACATTTATCAGTGTGATGACAACATTTCACAAACATGAATTTCTGAATAAGTTTCTGTGTGTGACATGACTTCATTATGTGTTTTTGTCAGATGTAGTGACTAAATAATAAAGCTGACAATACATTAGGATCAACCAATCCCAAAACCAGGTAATGCTAATAAGTATGGGGCCAAGCTCTGTGCCTCTGTGTCACAGAACTCCATTTTGTATTCCAAAAACACATACTGTTGCAGGTTATGAAGAGTGAGAGTTAATTCCTTTGAACAATGTACACCGATCAGCCATAACATTGTGACCACCCTGACTGGTCTGCGGCTACACAGTCCAATACACAACAAACTGTGATGCACTGTGTGTTCCGACACCTTTCTATCAGAACCAGCATTAACTTTAACCTTCGCTCCCTATGTGCATCAATGAGCTTTGGCTATATTCCTTCCATAGTGCAATGACAATATTGATATAATAATAATAATAGTTCATGTTCAATGGGTCTGCTTACAATAGACTTTAATAGCTCTAAACAAATGGGTAAGACAAAAAGTGAAGCCGACAGAAGGAGTGAGGAGGAGTAGACTACTGAACATGTCTGATTCAGAGCAGATGTCAAGGGGGCTGGACTTGTTATGATATTCAGCTGTTGAGTGGTTGTTTGGTTTCGATAATGGCTTTCTATTCACCTTTAAGAAGTTTGAGGCAAGTGCTTAACCTCTATTCCAGGTTTTCTGGTTCCCTGTTGTTGTGTCAGGGCCGACAAGCAGACAAGCAGTCAGTTACAGCCACATGGATGGAATAAATATAGCCTGTTGTACTCTCTAGCAGAAGTGAAATATCTAGGGGCCATCACCTTAAAGGACGAAGGTGTGACTTTCAGAGGACTTTAGTGTAGTAGGCTGAGCCACCCCCGGTTCCCACCCCCAGACACACAGAGACAAGAGCCACATCTTTCAAAAGACAAAGCTTTACATGGGCATACCCTGCATTGGACTAGAGATTAAAAAGCTGAACCTGTGTCATGTTCTTGCCCTTATAATAGCTGTTCAAAAAAATACCTTTTTTGACTTGCCATCCCTTAAAGTGAAGCAACGTTTGCCCTTGACCCTTTGTTGCAGGTTGTCTATAGTATCAGTTTGCGAGCAGTTCAATCAAAGAATAACACCCTTTTGTCAGATTGTTTCATTTGGACAGTTTTAGGGAGGCCTGAAGAGTTAAATTATCCAGCATTTCAGATTGAAAAAATCGAAGATTGGTTGATCATCTCACCCCCTCAGATTTACCTTGCAACGTCTTGCAGGAATCCCTACCAATACAAGTGACCACAGATACACCTGAGGGCCATGTAAAGAAATGTTGGGATACTAAAGCCAGAGAAGAATACAATGCACAGAAAAACTCTGAACATGCACCTTCTCATCTCTGATTTTATACATCAGTATGCTGAAGAAGGCTGCATTCAAATAAGACAGGCCTTGTTTATCTGTTATAATGTATTCTGTCTTCAGGAGGATGTGACCACTAAATGGGTGCATCCATCAAATTCTAGGAGAAAACGAGGGCAATGTTCTCTGCAGGATCATGCCGGGGTCTATGTAATGTGACAGCCAGACCCATATGAGCTCTTAAAAGCACACACGTAGAAGAAGTCCCTAAATATGGGACAGAGCTTGTGTGTTAACTTTTTGGAATTTCTTTTTTTATTTATGCACTTTGTAAACAACTACATGGAAGTTTGAGAGAACCATCATGGAATACCACAGGCTAATAGTGACAACACTGTCTCTGCACATTCCACTTAGTTGTTTGAGAACATTTTACCATCTCTTCACATCAAAAGAAATCCACAGGTGGTCCAGATTTCTCCAACTTCTGCTGTAAATCTGTCAGAATCCCCAGCAAGGACAGTGCCGCCTCTCATATACTCTGTATGTCATTTTACGTTTCAGAGATAGTTATTTTTTTATCAGCACTTTCCTTCCAATGACATTTAAGGCTAATATTGACCTCGACCACTATTGTTGCACTTTCCATAGAATACAAGGAAATGGATGGCTTGTAAATATGTAATTTATACACACTATCTCTCTGCACGTGTGGGTGAGAAAGGGTGCTGTGTGCATTCAAGTGTGTGCCTCAGAGTGCGCTTATTCAAACAAAGCTTACCCCATTTCATAGACAGCAGAAAAGATAATGTTGCATTAATGACAGAACATAATGTAGCCAAATGCATCTGAAAAAACACACACCATTACAGCTGTAGCCATAGAGATATCAAGGAGTCGTGCACCTAACCAGTATTCAAAACGTATGCTTGTGTCTTTCTATGTCTGACTGTATGCATTTGCATTAGCTAAAGCCCTTCACAAAACAGGGCCAGGGAATTGCATGGGTGCCATCTAGTGCCTTCAAACCTCAGTCCTGAATCCAGCAGATTGGGTAAAACCTTGCCATCTGTAAACTGTATAATAAAAACTTCATTATTGCAGAGGAAAAAATGACTCACTTTAGATGAAATCACAGGTTCAAACTTATATTTCTAGCCTTTACAGGAAGTTGTTTATGTTCTTAAATGTTAGCTGGATTGGAAAGGAACATAAATGGCATTTTAAGATAAAAGCTTTGCAGCAATAAAGGTGAGCCTATTTTACCATCCTCGACCATATTCTTGAACAGAAGTTGTTTTTATGATCAAAGGCATATTTGAGGTGACCGGTGCAAACTGTGGCATACCTCCTCTGATTGCTGTATCCTTTTGAGCCTCTCTCATTGAAACAATGATAGCCTCATTCAAGTTAGAGGGCTATTGACATTGACAGGACTTGAACTTTATTCGAGTGTGTTATAATATTAAAACTGATGATGGCAATTCATAGACTGAATGTGTATGAGTGTGTGTGTGTGTGTGTGTGTGTGTGTGTGTGTGTGAGAGAGAGAGAGAGCGAGATAAAGATTGAGCGAGCATGCACTTGTGTGCCACAAAACATCTGTTTTGACTACAGTATTCCTCCTTCATCTGCCCTTTAAAAGGAAAACTACCAATTTGTTGCAAATGAGCTACGTCAAAGTGATCCGTGCTAGCATCTGGAAACTGGGAGACAAAGTTCTGGACAGACACACTTTCTCTTACTCTCTATCCCCTCTCTGAAAAGTAGGAAAATCTTTCTAAGCAACAACAAAACAAGGTTGGCATTCTTTTTTTTTAAAAAATCGCCACAATATTTTAATATGGGATTCACTGGCCTGTGTGTGTCTCAAACAAACTTTCCACTATGTAGACCGTAATGATTGATAGTAATGATGACCATGTCTTCATCAAAAATGTTGGTCGATTGAAGGCTTAAAATGATGACCAGCGACCTTTCGTGGCCAGGCAAATTGCTTCCAGGCAAGAATGAACTTTCAACCTCAAAGACTTCCTTCTCTCAAAAGAAAAGACTAAAGCAGCATTTTCTTATAGAGCAGCAAGGCCTACCTAACAGGAAGGAGGTGGAGGTGGATGGTGGGGTGCACTTGCATGTGACTGAAACACACATTAACCTTAACCAAGACTCAATTATAGAGGTTTCAGACCAAAATGGTCATAAGAGTTGTTCTGGATCCATTTTGTTATGTTGGATGAGCCCTTCGTGTATTTAAATGTGCTGAACTCCCTACAGCATGAAGCTAACACATCCACCGCCACTATCTTTTCCTGGTATACTCTTTCTCCTGGTATATTCCTTGTGCTTCTCTGTGGGTTGGAAACTTCAGTAAAGTATCCTGCTACCTTAGTCCTGCCTTTCGACAGTGACGTTAGCTTGAGTCACAGGTAATATGTGGCCCTGTCAAGCTGTATGAAGTTTCTAAATGACGGATCTCTGTCCACTTCCAGGTCACGAGGAACACTAAAAATGCTCTATTAACTGTATAGCATGATCTCAAAATAACACAAAGAGTTCAGGCACAGAATCAATGAGATATACTTTTCTAGATACATGTAAGACTTCTGAGACTCCTTGTAATCAGAAAGCAAATACAAATATTAATGAGTGCAATATTTGTGTTTGCACATTCAGTTGTGTCCATCTGTATGCTGAGTGGTTCCAAACATGTTGCAAACAGTCACTGCTTTGCCAAAATAGGGCTTTGGTGTTATACCCTCCTCGAAGCTCCTAAAGTGTACTCAAAGATAATTGTTTTCCCAAGAGATATTCTGGCACAAATATTAGCTGGCGGATCAACAACAGCAAGGTAGATTGTAGCCTCTGCTCTCTGTAGAAGAGAAAAGTACATTTGTTTACAGCAACCTCTTGTTGCTGCTGTTTACAGGAAGAGGAACCATCTTGTCATGATTACTTTTCTGTCACAAAGATTCAAAACTTTAACTGCAATGATTTCTGGCTATTAGGCTAGCAGGGCTTTCTGGCTACATTCTTTCCTTGGGTACGTTAATGATAGTCGCGGGACATAGATTGACACTGTATGATGGAACAGACTTCAGCTCTGTGTGTGTGTGTGTGCCGGGGGGAGAGGGAGACTCAGGTGGCGACAGGATACTTACAATAACATGTTCCTCGGAGAGGGTTACCAAGGTAACGGTTCTCGGAGTCACATCTGGAACAACACAAGAAAAGGAGAGACAGGTGGGAAAAGAAGAGAGAGAAAGAAAATATAACGACATTAGCATTCAACAAGGTTTGAGTATTTACAAAGACACATTTCGTGTGAGTATGGTTGTGTGTGTGTGTGTGTGTGTGTGTGTGTGTGTGTGTGTGTGTGTGTGTGTGTGTGTGTGTGTGTGTGTGTGTGTGTGTGTGTGCAGGTGGGCCCTTGCTGCAGGTATTGTCTTCCCCCACCTCTTTGCAAGGTGATTTCCCTTGACAGTCGTGTCTAGCCATAGCAGCTCTCTTTTTCCCAGGGGCCCACACACACACATTACACAGACACACATAATTATCAGAGAGAACACTGGGAACTGTAACGTTTGAGAAAGAATACAAAAGTTTATAGATGCTTGGTAAAACTCTCGGGTATGTCAAGCTAACCTCCCGAAGTACTTTGTTCAAAAACTGATTTCATGCTTCTGCGAGGGGATCAGAGCGAGATCACCAGTTTAAATGTCTGGACAGGCTGGAATTGTTGATTAATTGTACGCAGAGGAAAACTCTACCAAAATAGTTTTTTCCATATCAAACAATGACTCTTTAGAAGCTTGAATGGCTGAAAGGTTTAAAGGTTATACAGTATATATAAGATTTAGGATGGTAATATAGCAGCCAACAACTATTTGCGATGTAAAGATATAGTGGAGCCATGGTGTCCTCAGCAGAGAATGATGTCACTATCCCTCTGCCTGCGTTGCTATCGCAGTCTCTCTGTTGTCTTCTCCGTGTGCAGCTGAGTAGAGCGAATGAAACTGCCGTCTACCTCTAGGAATTAAGGATTTATTTCAACCAAACCAGCGCTGGTGCTTGTTGGAAAGACTAATGAAAACAGTTATTTCTTTCTGTCCTATTCTTTTGGTCTGGGATAGTACAAGTGAATTTCATATAGCCCTAATGCTGCACTCACATGGAATCAGCCAAACCAGATGCCATGTTAGTGGATGAGAGCAGGAAGGTAATCTTAAGTGAGGCTGGCAGAGAACAGCAGCAATGGTAACGGTAACCAAAGTTAAAATATTTTAACTTTTTGCCGTTCTCTGTGACAGTATTTAAAACTGGATGTTATCCTCACACAAGAAGAAAACATAGACAATTTGGACAAAAAGACACTAATATTTAATACATTCATAAACTAACGTTCACAAAATAATTGTATTTAATATATTTATTCCAGTCTTTGTAAACAATACGGCATCACCGTAGCGACATATCGTTTGTTTCGTTTTGCCGTGCTGCCATTCCATTAGACGTCTGCTGTCTGCCTGAATCCATGTGAATGCCGGAATAAAGCTGCTCCTCCATGGACAATGGCAACTGCATTGAGCTTGAATTAGTGACAAATGCATCAAAAACTCACCACAAACTTCTTAAACAACTCCTGCATGATCCCCTTCTCTAATGTCGATACATATGCTCAGTGTGCTCCAAAACAATCATTGCTAATACATTGCTAAACACAAAACTTAGGGTGGATCTACGGAACTATATGGGAAGGCAATGGCTTGTCGCAGAAGTAGTAGCTATGTTAAGGAGAAACCTTCAAGGCCTGAGTGTGAATATTAAATAAGACAGATTTGTTGTGGAGTATTCTTTTGTGGTAGCTGCCATAGCTTTTTTAATTCCAACTCATACGTTTTGCTTTATATTCATGTATTTCATTCAGATGTCTGTTTCTCTGTTTGGAATGAATTGGTGTTGGTTAGTGGAAAACAAAATACTTGACATACTTTTGACAATGGCAACAGCAAAACATCTTGACATTTTCGTTCCACTGTTATTATGGACATAGTTTTCCAAAAAAAATGTGCATTGCGTAAAAGATGTTCATCAGGCCCTGCCAGTCATTCTTGTCAGACAAGAATCTACTCAGCTTTTCATTTGCATTTAATTTTGGCATTTCAGCCATTTCTCTGTCCTTCACTGTGACCAGAGAGAGGTTGACTCTCTTTTAAAAAAAGACACACATTTGTTGATGGACAGTAATTGACTGTGGTTAAAAGATGTGACCTTTAGCTTAAGAGAAAGTCCCTAATGATCAGTAAGCTCTGCCGCAACACAATTAGGTGAGGAATATCATTTATTTTTTTTTCCAGTACAAATCTAATGAATTTTTCCAAATACATAATGGGATTTCTATGGGTTGCAAAAGGCCCCATGGTCCAGGAACATAAGGGCTCTAAAGGATAATGTAAATTTTAACAGTCAGCTAAAGTAATTAAAGAAAAATATCAGGGTTACATAGTTTTTTTCCCCAGTTATCATCGAGAAATGATGTGCATGCTTTTGAGGCCATTAAAGTGTCAAGATGGATGACGTGTACCTGTAGCGGTTCAGATCACAGATAGGAAAATTATTGCCTGGCAGAGAGAACAAAAGCCAGAGTTATTACATTTCTAGTGTGAGCTGAATAGAGAAGAAATGTTTAAAAAATGTAATTGTTATTGTTATTGTAACTATAATGTCACGACATTTAACATGGCTTTAAAGAGTGCATCGCAGTATAAATCTTTTGTGTGTTCGAGTGGGTCTACATGACTTTCATCTGGAAGACTTTAAAAAGCAAAACAAAAAGGGTGTTTAGTGACATTGCAACAGCTTGATGAAATGAAATGAAATCGTAGCCATACAAAAAAGAAAACACGCTGCTTATCAAACCCATATGCATTTGACAAGCTTTACCAAATATGGACAATAAATCATCCAAAGCGCCCCACCGTCCAAGGGCTGTTTCACAGTGTAACAGAGGAAGGGTGGGAGGATTTAGGAAGACAAAGCAAGGTAAGTTGGGGAGAGAATAGAGCTAGCAAAAAAAAAATCACATACAGGAAAAGAATGACTGAGGAAAAAGAGGAACAAGTGAATGGGAACAAGAGGGCATGTAAGGTTTACAGGCTGAATGTTTGTGAATTCTCTTGTAGTGCTGCAGCAGGTCACAGAGCAGCACTGGATGCTGAATATTTCATCCTTCTATAAACTCTGGCCAAGGACGAGGCCTTAAACCACAGCTGCCTCACGGAGCTTCCATCCTAAATCGGGAGTTTAGAAAGACAATAAAACAAATAAAGAAGCACCATGATACTTTTGGTTTGATTGTAGTGTGTGAATCTGTTTAAGAGACCACTTGATGCCTACACACCTACAGTATACACCGATCAGCCATAACATTATGACCACTGACAGGAGTCAGTGGGTGGGATATATCAGGCAGCAAGTGAACATTTCGTCCTCAAGCTGATGCGTTAGAAGCAGGAAAAATGGGCAGTGTGAGGATTTGAGCGACTTTGACAAGGGCCAAATTGTGATAGCTAGATGACTGGGTCAGAGCATCTCCAGAACTGCAGCTCTTGTGTGGTGTTCTCGGTCAGTAGCTATCAAAAGTGCTCCAAGGAAGGTAAAGAACCAGAGACAGGGTCATGGGTGGCCAAGGCTAACTAATGCACGTGTGGAGTGAAGGCTGGCCCGTGTGGTCCAACAGACGAGCTACTGTAGCTCACACTGCTGAAACAGTTAATGCTGGTTCTGATAGAAAGGGGTCAGAACACACAGTGCATTACAGATTGTTGGTATGGGGCTGCAGAACATTAAGACCACCAGGGTGCCCAGGTGGTCAGAATGTTATAAATAAACTGATGGTTTTTGCTCAAAATTACAGAATGGTCCTTCTCAAGAAGGTGAATTTGATTATATTTTATTTGGCAGTATTCAGGGGGTCTTATGTTATGGCTTTGATACAGAATTACTAACAGGATATGAAAACAATAGCAGTTAAAGGATATATGCGGTTGAGTAGCTTGTTTTATTTATCATTTTGTTAAATGTAAATAATTGCTCAGCTGATTGGCTGAATGTCAAATGTATCCTGATTGGGTGATTGTTAAATGTATCCTGATTGGGTGATTGTTAAATGTATCCTGATTGGCTGAATGTCAAATGTATCCTCATTGGCTGATTGATATGTTTTAAAAAAAAAAAAACAGTTAATCTAATTAGGTAATATATAATCATTTAGAAATAGAGAAAAGTTAATATGAACAGTAGAAATTTCTTCCATTCCTTTCTTCTTCCTTCATTACCATGAACACACACACACACACACACACACACACACACACACACACACAATCCTGCTGCCAGAAATACTCACTAGAACACAAAAAGTGTCTTCATCTGCTGCGGAAAATAGACAGGGGAAAAAAGAAAGGAAAGAACTAAAGAAAGAAAAGAAAAGAAAAGAAAAGGAAAGGAAGAACTAAAGAAAGAAAAGTGAAGTGGAGAAGTGAAGCTTAATAGAGGATGACAGAGGCTTATTAAACAAACAGTTTGGGATTCAGAGAAGAGACTTGGAAGGAGAGCCGCATCATCTCAAGAGGACTCTGTGACTTTAAAAGCTTTGGAGTCGCTTCCAGCTGACTGCCACAAAGGAGCGCATTGAGGACTAAGCCTATTTCAGCACAAGATTTATTGTGATAAATGCAATGTCATAAATTGCTTAGAGCCCTCTTAGGAGCCAAATATGATCTAAAAAACACTTCCATCAGATATTTTAATCACTTAACATTTTGTTTTTTAACCTGTAGTCATATTTCCAAATATTGTACAAAAAATGGCTCTCCCTCCTCCAGAGGAGTGCACACATCAGGTGCAGCTACTGATACTGATAAGAATTCAGCTCAAACAAGAAGCCTCAACTTTTCTCTTCCTGCATCAGAACTGCATTAGCTTTGCACTCAGTAACTGCTATGGAGAAAAAGCCAGTTAAAAGTAACAAATTCATTGGGGACAAAACACAGTTGGCAAAATCTTCCAAAACTGATCCAAAAAAGTCACTCTCGACTGACAATTGTCATGCGGGTCACTTCAGGACCATGACCTGTTCAAGTAATGTGAACAGCCAATTGACAGGCCACAACATGGGTGCTCACAGTGAATATAAGCATGGAATGGTTGTTT